GGGCTCTGGGCTCGCAAAAGTTTTCGCAAATGTGGATCGGCGAGGTGGAGGAAGAGGAAGGAGAAGAGGATCCTAGCCAAAGGGCTCCGGGGAGACGACACGGCGGTGGTAGTCCTCACGGCACACTGTGCAGCAGGGGCGGTGGTCGGTGGTAGGCAAGCCTGCCAGACCGCTCTGCATCCAGCCCGAAAGTTTGCCTACCCAGCGCGGCGCTGGTGTACCTCACGTCACACCGCCCACTACGTGGCAGGGGCAGAGGTAGGCAAGCCCGCAAGACAGCGCTGCGTTGAGCCCGAGGGGGTTGCCTACCCAGTACGGCGCCCAGCTCGCCGAGCGTCGGGCGTCCGACACGAGAGGATCTAGAGAAGGAGAGCGGTAAGAGGAGGAGTAGTGAGACGTTAGTGCACTCTGACTCCTCATTCCAAGAGTTACCGCCCCGGCCGTAAATCAACTACTACACTGCGGCTCACACCCTTCATTCGCACGCACGCGTACACACACATACACACACACGCGCGCGCGCGCACACACTCACTCGGCTGGGTTAACGCTTAAGACCACGCGTTCCACGCGAATGAACTCGTCGGAAGAATAAAACCCCGTACCACGCACCTACCACAGAAAAAAAGCGTTCCCAAGCTTGAAAATTCCAGCTGGAAGAGTACGTTGCAATAATAATTTTTGAGCAAGAGGTATTTATACCTTACCGAAAAATCCTTCGCGGCCGCAATAAACTGGGGAATATATGAACTTCGGGGATCCCAGAGGTCCCTGGACAGCGCGGTGGGGCCGCCCGGCGCTGCGCTGCGGCTCGGGACGTGATCCCGGACCCGGACTCAGCCGGTACAAAGTTGCGTCGCTGAGCGCGAGCCACGTGAGGGGCCTTACGGAGAAGAGCCGTCCCGGGGCTGGAGGACGGACCCCGGTGGGGCCCAGGGGGCGCGGGGCGGGCGGTGCGGCCGGTCGCACGTACGTTAGAGCCAGAGCCACCCACCCCCTGCACCCCGATCCCCCCTCGGCTCAGCTCAAGCCCACCATAAAATCCCCCGTTTGCACTATTGCTACTATGCTTGTGCAGGTTGTGGTCAGTGTTGGCGCCGGCCGTCGTCGCGGCCTGTGTCCGCGTCCCGAAGCACGCGCGTGTAGTACTGCGCGCTATAAATGTTGCAATTCAAAGGGGGCAGAACCGACGAAACGTAACCTTTTCATCCCTCCCCGCGAGCATTGTTCCATAGGGTGCCCGCATGTCTCTGGAGGTCGCTGGAGCTGCAGAATGGGCGCCTTCTGTTCCAGCGGGCCGACAGCAGCGGAGCGGCGCCGCCGCCCCGGAGTAAATTGTCGCCGTATACGTCTTACAGGACATAAATCTGTTCAGCTGCTGGTCCTGCGTGCTGGCCCTGCTAGCCCTCCTGCCGGCCCTGCGTCCGTGCTGCTTTACCATGCCCCTATTCGAAAGCAAGCCCTTTCGCACACCGCCCGGGCCCCAACCCTTCAGGTAGGGGGCGGGGGAAGGGAGCAGCAAAGTTGAGAAGTGGACCCTCGGGGAAACGCGCCTGCTCGCGTCCCCGCG